TACTTTAGTGCTATTTGCCAACACAGTAGAGGGAGGCCAACTTACTCCCACACAATTGGATAATCTTGTTGTTAGTACTGCAGCCCCCCTGCACAATCAGGATAATCACCTTTATTGGCCAAGCATGTTACACACAAGGAATTTGTTTCTGGTACAGAACCGATGGCAGCTATCTGCGGCACCAACTCAACCGATGGCTCTAACCATCGGGGGCAATGGGGGGGTTCAGTATCTTGCCCAAGGACACTTCGACACGTGGACTGCAGGCACTGAGATTTGAACCTTCAACCTGGGAGATGACTGCTCTACCCCCCGCACCACTGTCGCCTTCCATACACTTGATACCATTGCCCCTCCGAAAAGGAAGCCAGCTAAAAAGAGGAGGCTAGCCTCAAGGTACAGCTCTCAGCTCCGCTCCCTAAAGCAGGCATCACAAAAACTGGAAAGGAGGTTATTTATAACAAGGTGGCGCTCCACCAAGTCAGAAGAGTTTTTCATAGCCTGGAAAGTTACTTTAATAACATATAAAAAAAAGCCCTTTGTAGTGCCAGAACCGCGTTTTATTCATCACTGATTGAGGAAAATAAGAACAACCCCAGGTTTCTTTTCAGCACTGTAGCCAGGCTAACAAAGAGCCACAGTACTGGTGAGCTTAACATTCCATTAGATCTCAGCAGCAATGAGTTCATGAGCTTCTTTACAAATAAAATCACAACTATTAGAGAAAAAATTGGTTGGACCATTCTCACAGCTCTCACAGATGTGCCATCTAATGCAATGGCTTTAGAAACATCTGTAAGACCTCATTTATACTTGGACTACTTCTCTCCCATAGACCTCAACAATCGCTTTCTCTAAATCATTAACATATCTCCTGGCCCCCATCCCGACCAGGCTGCTCAAAGACGTCTTTCCCCTAATCAACACATCCATACTTGATCTGATTAACCTCTCTCTATTAACAGGCTATGTTCCACAGGCTTTTAAAGTTGCATTAATTAAACCTCTACTCAAAAAGCCTACTCTTGACCCAGGTGTCCTAGCTAATTATAGATCAATATCCAGTCTTCTGTTTATTTCTAAGATCCTTGAAAAAGCTGTTGCTAAGCAGTTATGTGACCACTTGCACAAAAATGATTTGTTTGAGGATTTTCAGTCAGGATTTAGAGTCCATCATAGTACAGAAACCACATTGGTGAAAGTCACCAATGATGTCCTCCTAGCCTCAGACAAAGGACTTGTTTCCATACTTGTCCTCTTAGATCTCAGTGCTACTTTTGACACCATTGATCACAGCATCTTACTACAAAGACTTGGACATGTTATTGGGATTAAAAGAACTGCACTAAGTTGGTTCAAATCTTACCTATCAGAAAGATTTCAATTTGTTCATGTTAAGGATGAATCTTCCACACAGACTGAAGTTACTTAGCTCTGTGTTAGGTCCAATTCTCTTCACTTTATACATGCTTTCTTTAGGCAATATTATCAGGAAGCACAGCATAAATTTCCATTGCTATGCAGATGATACTCAGTTATATTTATCTATGAAGCCAAATGAATCAGGTCAGCTGGTCAAACTTCAAGCATGTCTTAAAGACATAAAGGCCTGGATGACCTGCAACTTCTTACTTCTAAACTCTGACAAAACTGAAGTTATTGTGCTTGGGCCTGAAAACCTTAGAAATCTGCTGTCTAATCATATAGTTACTTTAGATGACATAGCTCTTGCCTCCAGTACTACTGTGAGGAACCTTGGAGCCATCTTTGATCAGGATATGTCCTTTAAATCACACATAAACCAAGTCTCTAGAACTTCCTTATTTCACCTGTGCAATATAGCAAAAATCAGGAGCATCCTGTCTCAAAGTGATGCTGAAAAACTGGTCCATGCATTTGTTACTTCCAGGCTGGGCTATTGTAAGTCTTTGAAATCAGGATGTCCCAATAACACCCTAAAAAGCCTCGAGTTAATCCAAAATGCTGCGGCCAGAGTACTGATAGTCATGAGCAAGAGAGATCATATGTCTCCTATATTAGCTTCTCTCCACTGGCTCCCTGTAAAATCCAGAATAGAATTTAAAATCCTTCTCCTAACATACAAAGCCCTTAATGACAAGGCTCCATCGTATCTTAAAAGACCTCATAGAGCCTTATCATCCTAACAGAGCACTTCGCTCTCAGAGTGCAGGTTTACTTGTGGTCCCTAGAATCCACAGAAGTAGAATGGGAGGCAGAGCCTTTAACTATCAAGCTCCTCTCCTATGGAACCAACTCTCAGTCTCAGTTCGGGAGGCGGACACCCTCTCTACCTTTATAAGTAGATTTAAGACTTTTCTTTTTGATAAAACTTATAGTTAGGGCTGGATCAGGTGACCCTGAGCCTTCCCTTAGTTATGCTGCTATAGGCCTAGGCTGCTGTGGGGCCCCATGATGCCATATCAACCTGACCAGTGTTTGATTGTTTGTTGTGTCTTGTTGATTTTCTTCTTTTCTCATTACTTTTCTGTTGTTTGCGGATGAGTCTTCTATGGTGCAAAAGACCAGCGTGCATCACCCGTCTGGCCGTCTGCACTGGTGCTCGCAATTTGTATAACTCATACAATACAATGATTGCTAATAATGATGAGTTGGCGAAGAGCAGCAGAGGGAGAGATGAGGTGATGATTGCTGCTACTCTGTTTGAGTCCATAATGGAAAATTTATATGTCATGTGCCATTATGTATCTTACTGCGTGCTCGAAACCAGTATACTAATTAATGCCAATTTATGCCTCATTATGTTGATTTATAACAGCGGTTGCAGGAGTGCTGTGGACTGAGTGTAGAAAAAGAAGTGGCTTCTGTTAGTAGGCACTCTTAGTGTTGGTCTCCCCCAGTGTTTTCAGGACAGCTCAGTAAAACGTTTTTTGTTATAAAGAACTCTGCTAATAGAGTTTACTGTATAATAATAAAATCTACAGTTTATCATAAAAGTTTGATTACCTGTAAGCTTTTGTTTCTCATGCTACTTATGTGTACTTAGCGTTGCTGCTGGCCATTTTCTAAACCACAGCTTTGATTTCCAAATTCCCAGTTACTCAGTAGGTAAACCATCACAGTGGCATGTACCCACCAGCATTATTTTAGTCACTTGGTGATTATAGTACCTTCACATTTAGGTGCAGCTGAGGCTCAGGAGGTAGTGTGAGATATTAACTGTGTGAGACATTGCAATTCAAGCACCAACACTGTTCACTGTGCACACATAAGAGGGTGTATTGTAGAAAACACTGGTATCTTTATGCACTTATATGGAATGTAACTTTCACTGAGTTTGAAGTATGGGCACTGTTTCATATAACTGAACTGAACAAGAATGTAACCTTCAACCATGTTATACTTAATGAACTGATAAGGATAAGTTTTAGCTTTCTCAGCATTACTGAGTGTTCATGTAATCATTATGTGTATGTGTGCTTTTGATCACAGGAAAGTACCTTAGTTTTAGTGTCATGAGAAAAGCACTGTGTATGGTGGGATAGAACTTTAGTTGAGTATTGATTGATCTCAGCTGCATCGTAAGGAATGTAAGGAGGCGGGAAGAATAGTATATAACACACAGTGTTAGAGATGTGAGATCAGATCATCTTGGCTGCTGCTGCTGTATGATCTCCAGATGCGCATCTGTGAATAAAAGGTAATTAAGTGCACTTTGGTATTTGTGTGACTGAATATTCTTTCCATCATCTGGAACCCGATGAGAAGTGGTATACTTCGTCAGTAGCATGTTTCCTCTCATGACCACAGGGCTGTCAGTTTGATTCCTGGCTTCTCCATCCACATGTCGAAGTGTCCTTGAGCAAAACCCTGAACCACTGGTGTATAAGGTAATGAGATCGCTTACTAAAGTAAAATAAGCATTCCCAGAGTGTAAAAATACTCTGTTACAAGTAAAAGACCTGTATTTGAAATGCTACTTCAGTAAAAGTGCAAAAGTATTAGCATCAAACATACTAAAAGTAAAAGTATTCATTATGCAGATTGACACATTTAACAATAATATATACACTGCTCGAAAAAATTAAGGGAACACTAAATCACATATCAGCTCTTGATGAAGCCAATTAAAGCGAAAACCTTTAATATACATTGCAGAATTTCTTGTGAACAACATGACATAACAATGGTCAATGGAAACCAAAGTCATCAACCCATGGACGGCTGTATTCAAAGTCATACGGAAAATCAAAGTACAAAAATCCGGAACACTCAGGAACACTTCAGAAAACCATTGTCAGTTAACACAGTTCATCGCAACATCTTCAACTGCATGTTAAAACTTTACCATGCAAAGCGAAAGCCATACATCAACAACACCCAGAAATGCCGCCAGCTTCTCTGGGCCTGAGTTCATCTGAGATGGACTGATGCAAAGTGGCAGTGTGCTCTGGTCTGACAAGCCCACATTTCAAATTGTTTTTGGAAATCATGGACATCATGTCCTCCAGGCTAAAGAGGAAAAGGACCATCCAGACTGTTATCAGTGCACAGTTTATAAGCCAGCATCTGAGATGGTATAGGGGTGTGTTAGTGCCCATGGCATGGGTAACTTGCACATCTGTGAAGGTACTTTTAATGCTGAAAAGTACATACAGGTTTTGGAGCAAAATATGCTGCCATCTAAGCGATGTCTTTTTCAGGGATGTCCCTGCTTATTTCAACAAGACAATGCCAAGCCACATTCTGCACGTGTTACAACAGCGCGGCTTCATAGTAAAAGAGTGCGGGTCCTAGACTGGCCTGCCTGCAGTCCAGACCTGTCTCCCATTGAAAATGTGTGGCGCGTTATGAAGAGCAAAATACAACGATGCAGACCCTGGACTGTTGAGCAACTAAAGTCATACATCAAGCAAGAACGGGAAAGAATTATACCTACAAAGCTTCAACAATTAGTGTCCTCAGTTTCCAAACAATTATTAAGTGTTGTTAAAAGGAAAGGTGATGTAACTGTTATAGTTATGGCCGAGTGCGCTCCCAGCACCTCGTCCGCATGCCCTGGTTCCATCAACAGCTCCGCCCCGACAGGTGCTGGAGCGCACTTCGGCGACAAGGCACACCTGCTCCCAATCAGCGGAGCAGTACTTGAGGGCAGCGTTGGTGTGTCCTCATCACCAGATGATCTCTCGATGTCCCGCTGTCATCAGTAAGCAGTCCGATCTAACTAACCTGTATTTTCGTTTTTCTGTCTTGATGAGCCCTGTGTTTTGCATTTATCTGAACTGAACTCTGAATCGCCGTACGAGCGGCCTTTTGTTTTGTGCCAGTGGAAATCTCCTGGAGTTTACTGGACTGAACTATCGTTTTGGGGAGCTTGGGTTTTGTTTGCTTTTTTACACTCTGCTGTCTCTTCGCTATCTGAACATTCATTTAAGGAGTATCCTGTGGAACAGTACGCACCATCCCCGGCGACTCAGTTTCCCAGACGCCCCTTCCACGCTGGCGTTGAACAGGGCTGCACTCCCAATAGCGGCGAGCCCCAGCTTCCCCCATCAGTGGATCCACGCACCGGCCAGCAGGCATCTCACC